ATTAATGTACACTTGATTACCCAACGTATTTTCAAATCCAACCGATGAAAAGCGAATGAATTAAAACAGGATAAATTCAATCATCATATTGTTCTCCACGGATTCAAAAGCAAAAGGAATCGGTTTATCCTCACGAACCTGACACCTAGACTCAACTCCCGGTCCTCACTTGAAGACACTGGATTTTACATCGAGAGGACTGCTACAACAGAACTCAGCTCGATAACATCATATCGAATTTCCAATAATAAATAAAAAAAAAAAAATATCTCAAGTCAGATCTTAACTCTATACCGTTAGAGTTCAAGTCTGAACATACGGAGGTATACAACTCTTCTAGAGTTCACCATTAAATACTAGAGTTCAATAATGTAGAAGTAGGAGGATAAATTCCTAAGCCCCAATTAACAATATATAATATTATCTCAGCTATCCGGCAACACTTAAGCAATTTAAACTTAATCAGGAATCTCATACCTGAGTTGGAGAGGCACGACGGAAGCGAGTGGTCATATACATATTATGCAAAATAATTCACATAATTCACACATACCAGTCTACAGAAACGCAGACTGGCTCTGATACCAAACTGTAACACCCCACTTTGATTTAAGAAATAATCCATGGCTTATTCAAAAATCAAGTTTACATTTTCGAAATTCATTTTTCAAAATCCATAACATTAGGGTATTATCTTGATTTCAATTCATATTTGAAACCTCACGGATATACATTACTCGGTTTTTCACATGGACTTCATTGTCCTAAAATCAACAGTTCACATGATATCCAAATGACACATTCAATATGAATACCCAAACATAGTTCCATGAAAAGAACCAAATCATATGTTCAAACCAACATAATTTCAACGACATGGTCTGAAATGAAATAACATGTTCATAACCCAACATTTCCAAGTTCATCAGTTCGGGTTAACTTATTCAAAATAAAGCGGAAGCAAATAATGTAAATATGACCATCCACTCGCCATCGTGCCGTCGTGCTCACCTTGCTTAACCTGAAATGTTACTTTCAGGTGGGGATGAGCACAGTTGGAAAAAGTAATGCTCACCGCTATGCAATAAATAATGTATTAAGACAGATAAGTATGGTCGCAGCAGGAACACGAATCATTCAAGTATCACATCTCCTAATCATAACCTTTTACTCATGTGCACATCTATCATTAGCCATTGAAGGTCTAAACCGCACACAACAATGGGAGTAAATACCGAAGGGTGTACAACTCCCCTCGGCCTTGCCTATCATTAGGCTAGGGAGAATGCCTATCATTAGGCACCGTCGAAGGTCGAAACCGCACACGACGACGGGGATAACCGTTCGAAGGTCGAAACCGCACACATCGAAGGTTACAGGTTCACATGCATACATTGATCATACCATTCGACTTTCATAAAGAATTTAATGCATAGAAAATTTTGAATAACCCACCTGGTCGCGAAAAGGAGACAATCACGAAAGCCCGAATAGGTTGCGAGCTCGGCTCGTCAAACACCTACATTAAGTCCAGATGTTATAATCAACATCTATTCAGGCTTAGACGGAAAATCACAATCATACTTAGTCGAACTTGATTCAACTAAGTTGTTCGTGAAGTCCTGTGGACGTTGGAACACTTAGACTTGACATCTAGACTCAACCAATTACACATGGGAGTTCACATAAATCCATCTAAGGATTGACCAAGTCAAACACTTAATGAAACAAAGGACGAGTCGGTTTACAGTTTTTATTCTAAAAACCACATTTACGATTATACTAGTTTAAATCACAAAAATGAGTTGACAAGGTTGCCATATGAATTTAGCTCTCAAATATTAACCAAAATTTCACCTCCCAGAATTAAGCAAAACCACAAATTTTCAATTTCAAAACCCAAGTACACTATTTTATAAAATTCCCACAAGATATCAGCAAAACCGAGCCATGAATTTATACTCAATCTTAATGAATGATTCAGGAATTGAAAATTTTACACAACATACTACAACATGATATAAACAACATATAAAAATCTCAGCCCTTAACATTAACTGCTTCTATTTTTAAAAATTCAAACGAGATTCAGCATTTTATCAAATTTAAATCAAAATCGAACCGAAATGAACTCTTATTATTTTCATATTTTAACAGCATGAATAATTACATAAAATAAGCATCTCAGTAAAGTTTCAGGATTTTCCAGCAAGAATTCAATTTACTAAAATTAAATTATGAAGCTGCAGAATACAATAAACAATTTTTAAATATAGCAAACAAAGTCCAAAAATTCCAAAACATTTACACGACCTAGAAAACATACAGTAAGACAACATACTCAATTTTCAAAATTTTTGAGGCACAACAGAATTTAATATGCATTTTACAAGATTCTGCTCAGATTTCCAAACAATTATTAAAAATAGCTAAACTTATTATTTAAATCTGAAATGTTTACAAAACATGTATTTCCAGCAGAGAGTCGAGCGTACAAAATTTCACATTGATGCGAGCAACACAGAATATATCATAATTTATATATCAAAACAGCAATTTAACAATTTCAACAATTCATAATCGACTCGTTTTACGAAAAATCCGTCCGAAGTCTTCGCCATAAGACTACGGATGATGTAAGTTCCAGCCCACAGCGACAAATTCACGAGTTGACGAGGCCACGTTCGATTTTCCAAAATCGAAAGGCTCGTCAACGCACAATTTCATAAACAACACAAATAATCTAACGGATACACACAAAATCACATAGGCATATATTCTTGAATTAAACCTTCACATACGACAATCAAATACACAACCTAAATGAGACGTAAAATTAAATGAGATGAGTCGAGCCTTGTACCGTTCTCGGGAAATAAACGAAAACGAACGAACGAAAGGTTGACGGGCTCGATCGAACGGCACGCGAAATGGCCCGAGGCTCGACGGCAAGCTTCGTCTCGCCGGAAAAAGAGGCTACTCGCCGCTGAGGTGTTGCTGCTTGGTCATCGCAGGGAAGTTGCGCGCGAAGGAAGGCCGCTGGTTCACCGGGCGTCGGAAAGATCACGGACAGAGGAGATTCTCGTCGTCGGGAGGCCCGTGGCTGCTCGCGGTGATGAACAGGCTCGCCGGAAAAGTTCGATCAGAGGGACCGCCGGAGGTGATACTGCTGCACGTGCCTCTCGCCGGCATTGATGGTGGCGTCCTGCTCGATACGAGAACGCGGGGACGACGATGGAAGGTTGATGATGATGAGGAACTTAACGTGAAGATGGTGGTGAGATGGTGTGGTGAAGACGTGAAATTTTTCAGAGGAGAAGGGTGAAAGGACGCGATCGTGATTTTGGGAAGGAGAATGAAGGAAGTCGCGTGAAGGAGAATAGCTGCGGGGAAAATCTGCTCTCATGAGCGTGAAAGAGGAGGGGCGCATATATATATACTTAGCATTAGGGTATAAAAATCTTGGGACACAAGATATTCCACACACGCGCAAAACAGAGGAAAAATCTGTCGGGCCGGGCCCTGTTCATCGGGCTCGCCGCTTCGGTTCAATAAAACATATCGGCTCTCGGGCCCGATTATGTAGAAGTAATACAGTTTCCCGGGCTCCATAATTTAAACTCGCACACTTAAATAAACAAACCAAATAAAATATATAGTGATGATACACAATTTAAATTTTTAGAAAATAATAATAATATTAGTAAAATACCAATACACCTTTTAATAAATTAATTACACTTAGACAATGAGGCAATTAATTAATATTTAGACAATTAAGATAAATCATATCAGACAACTAATAATTTATTACATTCAATAATAATAACAACAAATAAATATAAATAATAATATTAATAAATAACTCCAAAATTTCATAATTCAAACGGGGCATTACACCTTAGTCCTTCTCAGGTACTTGAGTATATGCTTCACCGCAGACCAATGTTCCCGTCCCGGATTACTTTGATATCTAGCTACCATGCCAACGGTGTAGCTAATATCTGGCCTAGTGCACAACATTGCATACATGAGACTTCCTACTGCCGAAGCATAAGGAACTTTCTTCATCTCCTCTATCTCCTTAGACGTCTTAGGAGACATCTTTTTAGATAGAGGTATTCCATGTCTGAAAGGTAACATACCTTTCTTGGAATCCTGCATGCTGAATCTGGCCAAGACAGTATCTATGTATGAAGACTGGGATAAGCACAACATTATCTTCTTACAATCTCTAATGAGCCTAATACCAAGAATGTGTCCTGCTTCACCTAAGTCCTTCATATCAAACTGCTTAGACAACCACACCTTTACGTCTGATAACTCATTCTTACTGTTTCCAAAAAGCAGTATGTCATCTACGTAAAGCACAAGAAACACCACCACGCTCCCACTGATTTTCTTGTAAACACAGTGCTCATCCGGACAGTGAGTGAACCCGTTCGACTGGATCACCTCATCAAAACGGATGTTCCAAGATCTCGAAGCTTGCTTCAGTCCATAAATAGACCGATTAAGCTTACACACTAGATGCTCATGACCTTCAACAATGAATCCCTCTGGTTGCTGCATATAGATGTCTTCCTGCAGGTTCCCATTAAGGAAAGCTGTCTTGACATCTATCTGCCAGACCTCATAGTCCATATGAGCGGCTACAGCCAAGAGAATCCGAATGGACTTAAGCATAGCTACTGGCAAAAAGGTCTCATCATAATCAATACCCTCGATCTGGGTATAACCTTTCGCAATAAGCCTAGCTTTAAAGGTTTGCACCTTCCCATCCAATCCTCTCTTTCTCTTATAGATCCACTTACATCCAATGGGTCGTACCCCATCGGGTAGTTCTACAAGATCCCAGACCTGATTGGAGTCCATTGACCCCATTTCAGCTTTCATTGCAACATTCCATGAATCTGCATCTTTATCTTGGAGTGCCTCATCGTAAGTTCTTGGGTCCGATTCTAGGCCTCCTGGAACTGAGTCTGACGACTCTCCAAGACCTATCCATCGGTCGGGTAAATGAGAAACCCTCCCACTGCGACGAGGCACTGTCTGCACTGGTACACTCTCAGTGTGTCGTGTTGCAGTATTATGTGATGTATCTACTTGCGCACTCGGTGGGGAACCATCGATTTCACCCCTTAACTCCTCTAAGACTAGTCTACTCGCGGGCTTATGATTCATAATATAGTCTTCTTCCAAGAATCTAGCGTTCGTCGAAACGATCACCTTCTGATCCTCGGGACTATAAAATAATCCACCTTTCGTTCCCTTGGGATAGCCTACGAAAACTCGTGCTTCCGAACGTTTCTCCAACTTGCCAGGTTCCTGCACTAACACGTGTGCAGGACTACCCCAAACTCGAAACTGTGAGAAACTGGGCTTGCGCCCTTTCCACATCTCATAAGGGGTAGTGTCAACTGACTTCGACGGAACCATGTTCAGAATATACGATGCCGTTTCCAATGCCAAACCCCAGAACGAATCTGGTAACCTCGAATAACTCATCATAGACCTAACCATCTCCATAAGAGTCCTATTTCTTCGCTCTGCAACCCCATTCTGCTGGGGCGTGCCGGGTGCAGTCAGTTGGGATTCAATCCCAGCTTCCGATAAGTATGTCCTGAACTCTCCAAAAAGGTATTCGCCACCTCGATCAGAACGAAGTGACTTGATACATTTACCATGAAGCTTCTCCACAACTGCCCGATACTCCTTGAATTTCTCAAAGCATTCGGACTTGCGGTGCAACAGATAAACGTACCCAAATCTCGAGTAATCATCTATGAAAGACACATAGTACTCGAAACCTCCTCTAGCCTGGATCGACATAGGACCACACAAATCAGAATGAATCAATCCTAGCACTTCTTGGCTCCTATACCCCTTTGCCGTAAACGGCCTCTTGGCCATCTTACCTTCTAGGCATGATTCGCAAGTTGGATAGTGCTCTTCCAATGGACCGAGATGTCCACTGGCCACTAACTTTTGAATCCTCCTAAGGTTGATGTGTCCAAGTCTAAGGTGCCACAGATATGCTTGATTCATCTGCGAAGACTCCTTCCTCTTATTAGATGTAGTTATGACATTATTCAATTCATTATGTTGCACTGTGGGAGAGTTCGGTTTGAGAACATATAAATTGCCAACTAATGAACCACAACATATGAAACGATTTTCAAAACGAATAATAACCATGTCATCAAACGAAACTGAAAAACCATCCATAACGAGTTTAGAAACTGAAACAAGGTTCTTTCTAAAACTAGGAACATAAAGGCAATTTCTCAAAACCAAACTACTACTATCGAACGATAAAGTAACGTCTCCCACTGCAACAGCCGCCACTTTCGTAGCATTGCCCATGTAGACGGTGATCTCTCCCTCCCTAAGTCGCTTGGTTTCCTGGAACCCCTGCAAAGAATTGCAGACATGATCAGTGGCTCCAGTATCTACACACCAGGTTCTGGTAGATACAACCGCTAAACATGTTTCTACGACATTAACGAGAGAGTTACCTTTCTTGAGGAGAGGGCAATCGACCTTCCAGTGTCCTGACTTATTGCACTTGTGGCATCTTCCTTTCGGTTTCTTTGCCACAGCCTGAGGGGTCGGTCGTGGGTAAACCGGAGCATCCTGTGCCTTCGCCTTTCCTGCAGACTTCTTTCTCTTCCTGCCCTTGTGAGGCCTGGAAGGTCCAGCCTGCTCGGCGACTAGCACCTGAGGTGCTTGAGTGAATAAGGCCTCCGCCGACTGAAGCTCTGCAAGCAGTTCTGGAAGAGCCATATGCATCTTGTGCATGTTGTAGTTCAACCGGAACTGATCAAAGCTCTTCGGCAGAGATTGGAGCATAATATCAACCTGGGTTTCCCCGTCAATATAACCTCCCATAACCTCAAGCTCATTGAGCTGCGCCATAACCCTGAGAGCGTGCTCCCTTACGGGTGTGCCCTCGGCCATGCGCGTACTCATCAGAGCACTCAAAGCCTCTTGCCTAGCAGCCCTAGACTGATGTCCGAACAGATCCCTGAGATTGAGAAGTATATCTGCTGCAGTGTCCTTAGACTGATGCTGATGTTGAAGAACATTCGACATAGAAGCCAGAATGTAACACTTCGCCATCTCATCAGCCTTCTTCCACCGAGCATACTCCTCTTTCTCCTGCTCAGGAGCATCAGCCGCCGGCACCGCCGGGCAAGCATCAGTGATAGCAAACTTATAACCCTCAGCAGTCAACACTATGTCTAAGTTCCTCTTCCAATCAATGTAATTAGGACCAGTAAGCTGATTTTCTTTTAGAATGACAGACAACGGATTGAACGACATGATGAATATCCTGAGAATCATGCAAATAAATTTTACAGATTAAACACTTTTGAATTTAACTGTCAATATTGAGATCCTCAAAACAATATTAACTTAAATTCACCGACATCTATTACACCTCGTGAGAATGTATGCTACGTGGGTCGCCCTACAAACTCGCATTTTGTAAGAGAAGGACTTTTCAAGGGCCCATTAATTTCCATAAGTCAAAACCACATTCATGACTAACGAAATTAATAGTCGGTCTCCATTTGGCCATGCAATAAATCCAGGGACCCCGTGGGGAGTTTATAGATAAGTCGCATTCTAAGTGAATCCCATTTCTCGATTCTGAGGTTGTCAAAATTGATTACACGTCCCCCGTGGGGAGGCCCGTGCGTTCTCTTAAGATTCCCTCTAACCGTCTAATTTTAGAAATTTGTCCTGGTAATTTCCTACAACCAATTTTAGCAATGTCACCCGTGGGGGAGCCCATTGCCGCAATTAATTGATTTACCGACAAATTAGAAATGGAGGCCTTAGGAATTTTACAATTAACTTTAATTTAAAATCCCTTCTCAAACTTAGTATAATTTAATGAGGATTTTTAACTATTTATACAATTCCAAATTAATCTATGTTAATGCAATAATTAATTAACATGCATATTAATTCATGCAATTCTAAATTAATCTATGTCAATGCAATAATTAATTAACATGTTCAATAATTTATGCAATTCTAAATTAATCCATGCCAGAACATAATTAATTACATGCATAATTTATTGACACAATTCTAAATTAATCCTATGCATCACATAATTAATTAACATGCATAATTAATCTTGCAATACTAAATTAATCCCATGCAAGAACATAATTAATTAACATGCATAAATAATAATTTAATGGCATAATAAATTTAATTAAATAAATAAATAAATCCACTATTATGGCCATTAAATATTGAGTCTCCTTAAACAAGGAAACTGTGACAGTTCTTTTCCCTGTTCAACTGGAACTCCTTTAAGCAGTAGAATCCTGGTTGATCTTGTACTGCTTGGACAACAAGGCAAAAACACCAGCTACCAGCCGCCACCTGCCGCCGCCACCAGCCACCGCCGGTTCGCCGGCCGCCGCCACCAGTTCGCCGGAAAAACGCCGATTTTTTTTTTTTTAATTCTTCGAGGCTCGTTGATCTCTTGTGATCTCCCGGTTATCAACACACGATCACAACACGAAAAATATAATTTACAAAATTACATAATTCGATCCTAGATCCAACGAATGGATGTACATGTTTTCTAAACAAATAATTAAATCTATCCGGTCAACCCCCGGGCGAATAATTATTACAAACATTCATCCATAAATTCCTCGACATGCCCGAGGCTTTAAAAACAAATTTAAAACCATACATCACATTCAACAACATTCATCAAACACATAATCGGCCATAATAGTGGATTAACTATTTTCCTGCAAAACCGAGTTATGCAAATATAATCCAATATATGGCTGCGTTTGAACACATCTTGTCAAATAAAGCCGTAAAAATTCGAACTTTGTACAAAACGAATTAACCAAGTGCTCTGATACCACTTGTTGGGATCTGTGAGGATCTCGTTATGTACAAATCACGAATTCAATAGCAAACGTAAACCTATGCGCAGCGGATCTAAAGGTTTGACGTAGAGAACTTACGGCTTAAAATTTATGTAGATCTGGTTGACCACGAACGGTTGACCGCAATTGATTGACCGCAACACGCGTCTTGGGTTGCACGAACAAGATCAGATCAAAACTGGATCAAACGGATGCAAACAGATCAAAACGAAATTTTGCTGCCAGACACCTTCCGGCGGCGCGTGAGGGCGCGTGCGGCGTCGGATTCCGGCGACGTCGGCGGCGATGGAAAGCTCTCGTCGAGACGGTCGTCTGGGTATACTGTACGTCTCAATCGGACTTCCGGTTAGTTCTGTAGGTCAAAATCAATTTCGTCTCGGTTTACCTACAGATCTTCTACTGTATTACTCAATACACCCTTCTTCAACTTGTACCAGTGGAGCAACAAGAAGAAGATAAAGCTCGAATGAGATCTAGAGAGAGAGATGGTTTCACGTGAGAATGAGACTTCTATTCTCTTCTCATGAGCTTAATGATGTATATATAGAGCTACAGTAGGGACCCTAAGGAGATTAGGAAAAGGGCTCCTTAATTAATTAGACTAACTGTGGGCCAAACCCACTCCTCTAATTAATTAAATAATATTAATGGGCCACCAACATTATATTATTGCACTCCCTTTCCCTAGCCCAAATTACATTTGAGACTCCAATAATAATTACTCGATTTACCTCCCCACGTTTAAGATATAATGTCCATTAATTAATTCGATTACTGACAATCAAGAATTAATTAATTTATTATTATTTCACCGAAGCTAGCGCTCGTTCATCACATTCTTATTATGCCGGAATTTAATCCACCTGCAGGGTTTAGCATAACAATCCTTCATGAACTCACTCCGGGGACATCATCAAACTAACGCACATGGTGACCGTAAATATCCTAACAGCACATCCTATATATAATAATATTACCCAAAACAGTAGGAATATTAATCCAGCGAACTGAACCTCACCCATGTGAATCAAAGTAATATATATTATATATATCTGCCTGTTTAATATCTTACGGGTTAAGAGAACGCAGTAATTAACCGAGGCCTAGTTCATTTACGACGATCA